GGAAGATATTGATACTAAATTTTTTGTCTTGGAATTGAAAATATATAAGGAATTTCGTTAATGAGAAGTTATTCGTTTTCCAATACAAGTATTGTAAAAGAAATAAAATCATTATAAGCTGATTATAACAAATTGTAGAGTTATTTGACAATGATATAATAAAGCTTGGTTTAACGAACTATTTGATAGTATGTATATATACAGTTGTTTTATACAGATTTGATATATGTATAGAGATTGTTTTTAAATACCTACAACGGAAATAATATAAATATTATAATTAAATTGACTAAAAGATTAATTCTCACATGTTATATTAGTAAATCATATAATAGTTTACAAATAAATTACCTTTTTAATATATAATATTCGGTAAGTATTTTCACTTATTGTGCCGCGCCTACCAATTAATTCGAAATGTCATAGGAATTGGGTTCACCTTGTCGCAAATAATGGGAGTATGGCGATTGTACGAACAAAATGAGTCACCAGAAGATTCTTTTAAAAATAATAATAGATATTTATTGTCTATAGTAAAGAAATATTTATAGGATAAAGGGATCAAAAAAAATTTAAATGTTTTTGTTACTCGACCTTAATACTTCGAAATATTTCTTCAACAATTTTTAGTTTTGTAATTATTGATTAATGTCAAAGCAACCCGCTACCGCCTATAACTTGTTCCGACGTCCTCGACATTTGGGTGATTTTGCCGAAACTCGACCATCGGTCAACAGTTAACCGTTACATAACAACTATAAGGTTATCATTTAACTTGAGGTTCACGTGAAGTTAGTGATAAGTTGAGAGAGAAATTTTGCATAAACTTTTAATTTTTTCTTACTAACATTGTAAGAAATATTTTTATAAACAATGAGATCTGAGATTTTCGCGAGTCATTTAAATGAACTAATATTTTCGGATATACTACATACGCGACTTTATTTTTGTTTAAAACTACATATTCCATACGTTTAGGCTACTTTACAGCAACGGACAAATATGGAGTATGTAGTTTTTATCAAAAATAGATTCGCGCAGTGTATCCTCAAAATATTAGTTTCATTTATTTTTATAAATATTTTATATTAAAGATCGCGTCTATAATAAATTATATTTGCTTCAGAGATCTCAAATAGCTATGTACCGTTTGATTTTCATAATGCGCGAACCGGCCGTGAGATTTCTTGAATCTTCATTACATATGGGTGGTCGCTGGTCGGTCATCGGTGGTAGGTGGTCACTAATGTCCCTCAATGGCCCCGCCGCATACATGCTTGTTATTAATAATTTATTGACATTTATCATTATTATTATTATTATTAAAATAGTCAGAATCTGTCGTGAGTCGCGCGCCGTTATCATTATACAATTATCATTTGATAATATCGTATATATTATATTAAATCATCTTAATCTATTATTAGATATGATTTACATACATATATTAATTTATTCATTTTTCATAATATTCATATTTAGTTGTTCCGTTTCAGAAGATGAAATAAATAAGTCTCTTAAATACTATGAAGTGTGACACATTTCGTTATTAGACTACAGTCGACAGCAACTAAAATTGTTTTAAAAACGTTCGAATTGCATTTCTCTGAGACATAAATTGTTAGTGACTCAAAAGATTTATAAATAGTTCCAGACTAGAGGAAGTCGCCTATCGACGTAACAATTTTCACACGTAATCCACGATAAATATATATAAAAACACATAAGAATTATATATTTTACGAGTTCTTTTTGATTTATTATAACAATTGTAATTTCAGTGCAATTCAAGTGTATTTTTTATTGTTTCCCGCGTCTTTTATCGTATAAATGAAAAGATATACAAAAAACTATCGCATATTAAAATTAGGCGACAAAAAATTACCTGGTGGCTAGTTCTGATTATCTATATACGATAATATTGAAGAATTTCAAACGATAATTCGTTTTTTTAGTGTATTGTAAATTTTAGTTTAGGGACGGCGATGCTCCGGACTACAGAAATACCGAATGGACTTTAGTGTCGTCGGAGAATTCCGCAGTCGATATATTGCTTTCATAATACGTGGAATATTTAAATAAAACTAATTTACAACAAGTGTACGAATGAAAAAAACTTTAAACGTGAAAATTGTTTGAATGGTATTAGATCACAGAACAAATGATTTCTGGGTTAGTAATAAGAAATATTACGCATATTTCAATACGACAAAAAATATGATATTAACGTAGTGAAATATTAAGTTTAAGAAGAGTAAATATTTAAAGTAAATTTTCATGGAAAAGCAATAAAAATATTACTCATATTTCAATTAATAAAGTGTATGATATTTCCGAAGTGAATTATAAAGTTGTGGAAGGGAAAAAATGTGTCCATTTTCATGGAAAACCAAAAGGATTTTGTATTAGCAATAGACAAATCACTTATCTAGTATAATTCGGCATTCCGTCTTAATAAGTTAGCCAGAAGTAATGAATTGAATCTATAGTACCTATGGTGTGGACTCACGAGTTACTATCAAGGACGTGTTAGTTCTTCTGAGAGCTGCTAATTATTTATATTAAACAATAAAATACTTTAAATATACTCCACATTGACCGTACATATTTTAATTACAATCAACCCATTATATGGATACACATAATATTAAAATTCTCAAACACCATAAAAATCTTCCGACCGCAATGAAAGCTACCGATCTCAATCTCCAACACGGAACAGAGACTGCAGACATATACAATATAATGTAACATAGGTTAATATATCTAATAGGACAGTAAAGCCGGCAGAGCGCATCGAGCATTATAGTGAGCCGGCAACCCGTAACGCCGCCATAACTTTATAGAAGCATTTAATAAGACGCCGTCTGACTTCACAGTCGAAGGTCGACCTCACCTATGGGATCGTACACCTACCATCAATAAATATATACATAAAACATTAATTTGACAACCCTAAAACATTACACACGACAGTCAAAAAACAATGGATAGGCCAGGCCAGGCCTATAAGGTGTAAAATATTGATTGATTTTTTTGTGTTTAATATTAAGCAAATTTCGGTTTCCTTACTATCCATATAATTATTGCAACATTTTAATTACGTGATGTGTATCAATGATCAAATAATATTTGAAGTAGCGGTTTTTTCTATAATCTATTACCAAGTCGGCTGATGACTAATCCGAGAATTACTAATACCAGAGTTTGTTGACTCGTATTAAATGCCACTAGACGACTTGACGAGCTATTCTTATTCCCAATAGACAACAATGCAAAGTGTTCAAACATCGTTAACACACACAATAATGTTTATAAAGATGCCGCAAAAAACACAAACATCGAAGAATATGAAAGATAGCGGTGATGGGCGCCCGGGCTTCGGAGACGCTATGACATACACTGGAGATTGGATCGAGACAGATTTACTAGCAAATAATGAGAGAGGGAACATTAACAAAGGAAAAAACGACGGAGAACATCCAGAGAGTAAACAATCCGAGCCAAACGCTGAAGGTAAACACTCAGCTAGCGCCACTCTCCCACAGAAACATTCGCTCGGGAGCAATTAAAGTTAAAAGAGCTTTACAGGTTACAAAAATAAAACTATTTATGGATATCGAACAAAATCACTGAACACATTGTGAAATGGAAACACGGATAAGTACTTATAGTGGGAATATTCATGTGCTCTAGTCATGAATTCCGAGATTTTCGCTATTAGTACATATTAAAATAGAACCATTTTTTTTATTAATGTTACTTATTTCTGTATCATACTTTACTTACCTCTCTGGTATATGAAAGTACATTAAACCGTCTTTGACAGGTCCGCAAACTGTTTTATTACAATGCCATTATTCCATATAGTGTCAGTCCGTTTGAAGAGGACGTTAATCTGTCCAGTACTATACAGTATACACTCTCGATGGTCCTAATTGCATCTTATTCGCGGATCGCGGAGTCGCTTCATAGTATCGGTAGCTGATGACGTCATGACACGCTCCATTTCAGACCAGTCGGTGCCCGTCTGTCAAATGTACCGTGACGCGGCTCACGTGAACCCTGGCTTTCGAGTATATATTTTTTTGGACACTTGTTCCGATATTTCCGGAGCGGATTACTTTCTACTATTTGGATGTTTGTCATCGAATTGTCGGCACTTTTATTTGTATTTTTTTGTTCGTATATATATGCCAATAGTTCAATAGTTTGATGATTTAATTACGACTAAGAATGGTCATGTGATCGTTATATTTATCTTTTTTTGTTCTCTTTGTGATCGTGTGTTTTATATTTAGTGTAGACAAGTTCTGAGGTTTAACTGGAACTGATAAGCTATTTAGTGTAATCGAAAATTTTTGAATTTACATGAAATAAAATTAAAGATATTTAAAAATGTTTTTAAAATTATTTTCACTCCTCGTTTCGGTAGAGAAAGGGCGAAATTTTGACCTTTTTGGTCGTAATTTTTATGGAACGTAATGATAAATAGCATCAATTAAGAATGATGATTGTGTTGGAAGTTAGTTCGTAATCATGAATATCAACATCTCAGTTAAAACTTAATGTATGTTTCCTCATGCATCTAGCCGTTTATGAAGGGTGCATAAATGAGATCGGCCCAGTAGTAGTGTGCATTTAGTGGCTATGTTTTGTTACAACAACCACGCACGACTATTTACACTGTACCTAAAATGGATTCCTAATGGCTACTTGTTCGTACGGTACACCTGCCACGGCATATTTGTTAACAGTAGCTACAATTTATTGGCATCTTTAGCACTAATGATAACTTACGTATTGTGAACGAGTTAAATATGATCGGGAGACTTGGAACGTGTACTCTGAGGCGACGACTCTAGACCGAACGGAGATTGGATTAAAAGACATCGTGGAACCAAATAGAAGAAGTCGGAGTCGGTCTATAGAGACGATACCTTGGTGGTTGATAGCGGAGAGCTCAACTGCCATGCACTTATAATACACAAGACACTCACTGTAACCAGGCTTGTAGACCGCGCGGATCCTCCTGATCAACTTGCCGGTTCGTCTCAAGGGAGGGCCGAGCGCCACCGCGGCGTGACCTCTCCTCTCCGCGAACACGATATAGTTCTTGTGGTTCTCCAAGGGCACTTCGAACCGTCCCGAACACTGCAGCGAGTCCCGGGGCAGCCGCAGCCGCAGCACGGCGTCCTCTCTCGGCCAGCGGCCCTGCCGGCGGAGCACCCGGCGCACCTGCACGGTGGCCGCGTCCTCGGCCAGGGACTGCACGCGGGCCTCGAAGGCGGCCGGGGCTCTGTAGGCGCGCCAGGCGACGTCCGCCCGCTCGCAGTAGAGGCGGCGCGGCGCCGCCAGGCTGCCAGCGAGGCACAGCAGGGCCCAGCAAAACGCCGCGCGCCCGCACGTCTTCATCGCGCCATGGCAGCGCTCGCGTGCGACCCTCTCTCGTCGGCGGCCGGCGCGCGACTGCCGCCCGGCCTCGCCTGTGCCCGCAGCTCGCTCTGTGATTCACGCTCCGCCTACAGAAATAGTCTCCGCGGCACACACCACCTATACTATAGTAGGGAGCACCGCCGACACCGGCACGCGCCGACTTATCTCACAACATCATTCATTTGCGATTGTAATTAGCGACTTAGCGCCCGCCGACCGGCTCCGGTTAGAGGGTAGAGCTGATCCTCGTAGAAACTGAGTGTCTTCGCTCCTTTAACTTTCCTTAGGCCTTCACGTGACTGATTCCTTACATCCTATTTGGTTTGTTTCGCGACCATACGTCATCACCAATATAATAACCACTAATTCCTGTTTCCTCTCAATTCATTCAGATATATTAGGACATTTCATCCAATCTTTAGGCATGAGAGTGATGTATCAGATATAAAACAGTTCTAGGAATTGTTTTTCTCATCTGAGCCTAAAACTAGAAATAAAATTAGTATTACACATGACGCTGCTAACTATTCATATTAGTTCTGGGAAATTGGAATTTTCTTATGAAAATGTTATTCATTGATACGATATTAATAGTGTAGGTACATCATAGTATATAACCAATGTAACCATATATGATGATTTATATATTTTTTATATAGTATGTTATTATATAAGCATAATATATGCAAGTACTTTTAAAATTGGGAATTAGCTTTTATCCCTTTTATATACCTTATTTGGAAAATATTATAAAAAAAAAAATAAAGTTAATAATGATGCAAATAAGTTTGTGTAATATATATATGTTTTAAAGTTTTTCACTATATAGTTCTATTGCTAGAGCACATATTTGTCGTAGCGGAGGTTTTCATTTGACTACAATGGCTCGTAGCAGTGTCTACGTGTCGTAGCGCGTAGACCACTCGTAGCCTTTTCTTAAACTATGTGTATTGTAAAAATATACAAACTATTGTAAATATATCCATATAAAATAAAAAGGATTTTATTTATTTTTATTTAATGTATTTATTTAATAATTCTATCAAATCCTTTATAAGTGAAAGTTAAAAAAAAAAAAACAATTCTTACAACTCATTCAATACATAGTATTTACAAAACTATTGCAGGGATCGGATTTTATGAGAAATTTACCTTTAGTATAATAGCTTCATATTTCCCACAGTCGGAACGATCAATACCGAATCGTAAAATTTATCTATGGTTCCGTATAATTAATTTGATATGAAAAAAATAATTAGTCTCTTTAAAAAAATAAACGATAAATAAAACTATACAAAAGATTTTATCATTTCTAAATATATATTAATATTTATTTTTATTATTTATATGTATGTATGTATTATATATAGGTTCCGTATAAGGATCTCTAATTAGTTCCTAACGGTGTCCGCCAATTTGCTTCACGTCCGGACAAATATAGAAAAAAATATAGAAAAAAAAAGTAAACGGAAACGGTTTATCTCAGGTAGCCTCCATACAAATATGAATGAACGTTTTAGAGTTCACAAATAAAAAAAATATTCATACTATTCTCACCCTTATTACTTTTATAATAAACATCCCTTAAAGGTCAAAGTCGTGTAACACTATAATTATGTAAAGGTAACGTTGACAAGTGTATTTCACATTCTTTGGTCACACCGCATCGTAATATTATTTGAATGGAAGTTTTTTGTTGATGTGAATCATTCATAAAAATATATTCATTGAAGAAATACTAGAAATAGTGTAGTAAGAAATATTATTGAATTATTTTATATATTAAAATATACTAGGAATAGTTTGAAATTTCGGCCCAAAATTAGTAAGTATTTTGTAATGAGTAAGTTTTCGGGCCATGAATGAACCTACCTGTGCATTTGTTTTGCAAATTTCGCACCAACAAAAGCTTTACAACTTATTGTTGTAACACGTGGAAGCAATTACACCGAGGTGTGAGAATCTTTTTAAACAATGTCTTTATTATATTATATCTTTAATAACCCAAGTTATCTGTGTAACAGATGCTCGTGATTGTTTCGGTGTGAGCTGCGGACAGGTGTTTTGGATTAGAAATAGGTTTTATGTTTAAATATAAATATTCATTGTTCATCCACAATGAATGACATTTTAATACCTTTTCTTTTAGTTTATTTGTTCTCAGCGAAATTATGTTATGGTATATTAAAAATATATCATAATATATGTTACATAGCATAGTATACATATATATTTCTTTTCTAAGTGAAGTATCAAATCGATATATTAATATTTCTTATAAATCAAAACAAACAAGTTCTGTTCATAACGTCTTCATCGCTGTATGTCATGATGTGATGCAAAATGACTAAATATTATGTAAAGCGACTCCGACCAGTCGCTCGCCGCACGCACGGAGTATGCTCTACACAAAACGACAACTTAATGGTATAATTCAATTACATATTAGAAAATTACGTACATTTTAATTCAATAACACTCTTAGGCTTATTATAACTCTTACTATGAAAGAGTTTCACGGTTTTTAATATAATAATTATTAATGAATGTATTTATTAAAACAAAGAAGCCTCGATTTAACATTAATCGTTAGTTTTGTTAATACTCAGTATGTGTAATGTTAAATTTGTTGTAACAAAGTCGAGTATATTCCATGCGAGGGCCACCCTGCTCGCGCGGTTCTCGTTAAGCGTGTAATTGTCAAAATTGTCATAATCCCCGGACATGTATCGGTCGGTAATGATTATTATCGAATTTTGATAAAATTATATTTATATTAAAAATTATATTAACGTGCGGGTTATGTATGTCGCGGTGTTTCTCATATAAGATTTTCGGATTACGTATGCGAGAATTCTAAATATTATTAATACAATTCTTATTAAATATATCATAATCATCAGCTTATCAGAAGCCCACTTCTGAGCAAAGGCTTCTCACATGGAGAAGATTTGAGAATTAATTCATCACGCTTGCTCAAGACGGGTTGGTGATATCAAACTTATAATTTGTTATAAGTCCAGGTTTCCTCACGATGATTTCCTTCATTTGACAATAGTATCTGAATACTCTTTTAAAGTACATATGACTTTAGAAAATCACATAGGTACTTACCAGGTTTCGAACCTACGTCCTCATACATAAAAGGCGGGACTTTAACCACCACGATTACCTATTATTAAAATAATTAACATTAAATTTTAATAGCCATATAAGTGAACGATTCCTTTTCATACTAGGTATTCTGAAACCGTGAAGTATTCATATATATTCCGTAGTTGTATCTGTTAGTGTACACACTACACCTACGTGTATGGTTTATCTCGTTCACGCCTGCTAGTAAATATAACTCGGCCGCTACTAGAATGGCTCGGAACTGGCAATTTAAACACACTTATATATTTATTAACGAATAACACTAAGTACATTGATATGATATTTCAAACGAACGAAAAGATATCTCCACTGAGATTTGACAATAGGTAATTAATAATTATATAAGCAATTAATTAGTCTATAAAAGATAAGAATATTTCGTCTATTTTTCAATAATAGCAATGTGTAATTGTAATTGTAACATCAACATTTTATATCATGAAGTAAAGCATCGTTACACAAGACAGAATTATGATCATATATTAATAATCCGTGAAAAACAAGGATTTAAGAAGTAAATGTGATAAAATTTATATTTTTATTACATTTTATTTAAGCTTGTTTTTTAATATATTATATACTAAAGCTTTTTAAGACATATTTTATTTAATATATGTTACGTTTCACCTCTGCCGTCGTCGTTGCAAGTCTGCATTCGTCTACTATAAATTTGTTCCTAAGTAAATATTATCGTGAGATATTTATACTAAAAATACATAATATTAGAGGATTTTTTTCTGTTATAAATTTTATTGCAGAATTAATTTAAATGGATCATCGCAATGTTAGATTTCGTTATACTTTATATATAAAAGAAAGTTGTGTTAGTCATAGTATTTATAACTTAAGAACTGCTGTAGGGGTATGGTTGACAATTGGTGGTGAGATAGCTTAGAACAAGGAGACGGACAAAGGATATTTAATTCTGTTGAATCGAGACAGAAAAAAACTTAATAAACTTCAATATCTGGTTATTTATGACCTCTAAGGATGAATGGAGTTCGCCCGGTCAGCTATACATATATTACTGATTCCGAAATTAACGCGGACGAAGTCGCGAGCAAAAACTAGTATATAAATATGTACACATAAAACGTACATAGATTAGTTTTTCTAATTAAACAAGCATTTAAGAATTATATGCAATCTTGATAGTCTTAAAAAATATTTAAAGAGAGTGAAATATTAAGACGTAAGTATTCGTTCTGATGAAGCAATCAGTAAGTTAATAAACATGTTGATTGTCGACATTTATTAATCATTGAGGAACGAAAATAATATGAGTACATTGAGAGAGAGTAACGTTGAAGTTCTCGAGCACACTTTATTAACTGGCAACGATTTATTTTATAGTGACTTACTGAGTTAATTCGACCGCCACCTGCGAATGACTCGCGATATAACATACCTGCACGATTACCACGAGTTTGGAGCAAACTACACACGTCACGTTTTGCGTTTTCATTTATATATAGTGTCAAGAAACGAGAGTCACTTCGTTTCGATACAAACTTGTGGTAATATGAGGTTATTTTCATAAATTCGCCGGGTGGCCGCGCCTCGGGCCCCGGTTTGTGCCTGCACACAGACAGACACACTTACTGTTTCGATTTAATTATATATATAATGTATGATGCGTAATTAACATTAATATTTTACGCCACAAATGTTATTTAGCGTGAGCGATGAAAACATTATCTTCAATATAGTATTTGTATGTATTATGTACCTGTAGTGTTGTGACCTCGTTCGTTTCGTCTCGAGGGTGGTCAATCATTATTTTAGAGCGATTTCAATCGACATTTCACCGTCCGATTAAAATC